TACATGGATCTCCATCCCCTACCTCCACTGAGATGGAAGATCAAAGGGCATCAGTAGCACACCATCCCTCAAATATAGGTGTGCTGCTCCCAGGCTTATCTCTAGCAAGCCTGCTTTTATCCCTTTTGCCCTTCAAATGTAGTTTAAAGCTCTTCTAATGAGCCCTGCTAACTCCTGTGCAAAGATCCTTTCCTCTCTCTGAGACAGGTGTACCCCGTCTGTCGCCAGCAGACCTGGTGTCATGTAAACCAACCCATGATCAAAAAACCCAAAATTCCGTCAGTGACACCAGACTTGGAGCCAGGCATTGATCAGCTGCCTTTTGCTGTTTCTTCCCTCATCTTTCCCTGCAACTTGAAGGATAGAGAAATACACTACTTGTGCTCCAGGCCCTGAGACTTGCCCTTCATTATCCTCAGACTTCTTGTTGCAAATTCATTGCTGCCTACCTGAAAAAAAAATTAAAATTGATAATGGATATTAATCTGAGGGCCATACCACAGTAGGACACTTTCTCTTCACATCTTTAATCCAGGCCTCAGGGAGGCAGCAGACTTCCCCAAGAAGCAGGTCCTTCTCTTTGAACCTTCTGTTCCTTTCAGAACGGAGTCTCCTATGACAATGATATTTTTTTGCTTTGTGGGAGCAGTTCTGATGCAGAGTATAGGTCAACTTAACCTTGGCATCCAAGCTAGATGAATCATTGTTCTTGTAGCTGTTCGGTTTCATGTGCAGAGACTCTGAAGTATTATGTGAGGGCATGTGGGAAGGTAGGGTAGTCATAGAGGAGACACACTTGCTGCACTGGGCAGGAACTTGTCACTGTTGCCCTTATCCCTTAAGTCACTGAATTCAGCCAGTAGCAAGAAGATAGAGAATCCTCCATGACACGTCTACTGTGAGTTCTTCAGGTGTGTCAAAATGGTAAGCACAAGCAACTGGGAAACTCACTTAGGTAGGGAAAATCCCCAGGAAATTTAATAAAATTTTCTCCAACACTGAAGCCTACACATAAGAATTATTTTACAATAATTAATAATACACTACCTTAGTTGTCATGATGTAATATTTAAACTATACTAACTTATTGTCAAAGAATAACATTACTAAACTGCAGGACGTGTGCAAATATTGATTTCTAGATGTAAGTTTATGCACTAATATAAAACTGACTTTTAGAGGATTCATTTTGTCCGTGGGTCTTCCTTGTTACAAGAGTAACTTTTCTTGCAACACTGTCACACCGATTCTCCATAAGGTCACTCGAACCATGAAGGATCCCAAGCATTCAGCAGCAAGACCCTTCTATTTCCCTGCAGTAATCCATTTACCTTATTTTAACTGCAATTATTCTCCAACAGGCAAAGTTCAGAATTTACCTGCTTAAAAATATAAATGTAAGAAAAACCACCAAATGAAAATATCTCTTAAGCAACTCCAGTAAAACTCCTTATAGAAAATTCAAGGATATTAGCAGTACTACAAATAAGCTTTAGGTCAAAAGAAGTGTTTGCCTTATCTAAAACAGTTAAAAACTGTTGCTCCTTGTCCTGTCAATACAGGTCCTGGTAAAAAGTCATTCTCCGTCTTTCTTGTAGGCTCCCTTTATATATTGAAAGGCTGCAACAGCATCTCCTCAGAGCTATTATAATGGTGTTGAAAACAGAATTTTCCATGTAATTTTGAACATTTCAGAATTTCCACAGGGCTGTTTTTCAAGCAAAACAGATCTCTCTTTGCTATGTATCATTACCAATTATGCAAATACAGTAATGTGATTTGAAACCTAATTGGTTCAGCACATGTATCAGTAACCTCCAGCTTCTCAATTTTCTTTCTCACTGGCATGAGTCACCTTAGCAAAGGTGACAAAACTTCAACAGTGACAACCGCAGAGAGCAACTTCTAGTTATCAGATTGCAAGGTGACGTTAATAAACTAGTCAAGTAACGGTAACTATATGGTATCCAAACAGCAAAACTGAACCAACTAACCAAACAAAACCCTCAAAACCAAAACAACCAAAGAAATCCTTTCAATACACAAAACAAAAAAAGCTACCCCCCCTAAAACAAACAAACAAAAACCAAAAAAACCCCCACCAAACAAAAAACTCAAAACACCACAAACCCTGCTAATCAAACTAGTTAATGATTAATAAACAAAGCTCTATTACTGAAATAAAAAGAAACATAGTGCTAAGCAATCACAGCAGAGGTGTCACAGACCAGGAGTGAGAAACTGCTCGGGACAGAATAAATCAACCACAGCGTTAACAAGGTCTTATATAGTGAACAAAGACATTATTACATTTTCTAAAACCATTTTTACAGTTGTTCAATTGAATAAAACCTGACAACTTTAGAAGGCATTCCCTTTCAAATTTACATGCTCAGTTTTCTGTAATTTTCTGGAGTGTGTAGGCTACCTAGGAACATATAACAGATACATGTAAACTCATATGCAATATGTAACTACATCCAGGAAACTCCGTGTTTTTTTCAATAAGCCCAATCATGTACTTACATATGTACATACTTAGTCCTATCCAGATGTGTTTGGCACAAGTAAAAATTAAAGGGACTGCATAAAACTTACTTGCTCGATTTTTGAGTTTTGGCTATTGATATTATTATTATTATAGTGCCGTTGTTGTTTTTTTTTGTTTTTCTTTCTTTTAAAACTAATTTTCATATACACATATATGAAGAGAGGGCACCACCAATATTGTTTAGCTTTTTAGTACATTTATAGTAATATTGCAATTCAGGAACAATGTATTGTATTATTAAAATACTTTATTCTTTTGATTGAGGACTAAAGTAAGATTTGTTGAAGAAAGAATTGCTCGCGTACAGAACCACCAAAAGTCTTGGAATTAAAGTTTCCAGAAGCCTCTTCTGTAACTTGGTCTCTGATTTGTAAGGACAGCCATTTACTCTTCCCATGTCCACAAAAGAAAAAAAAAAAAAAGAAGCTGCTATAAATTCTACCAGTTCACTTCTGTGTAGACATCTTAATGAAACAAGTTCTAAGTAGCCACATTCTAAGTAGTTGAAAAACGCTGTTGCTTTTCTTATGACTAAAGCCTTTCCCCCTCCCTCCAAGGAAGAAGAGTAATTTTCCCCTATACGCAAGAGAGATTAAAGAGAAATTAATCCACTACGCTTCCTATTGAAAGTCAAAGAGATGAAAGGAGAAAACAGGCATATATGTAAGGAAGACACAGTCTCTTCTCATTGCTAACCTCTACAGCCAAAATCCTCTCAACAGTGGTCTGTCTCTTGTTAGTGAACGTACTTAAATTACAGCATATTACTGATGTTATGTCTGCAACTAAAACTCCATTTCTGGAACCCTTAAGCACAGAAATGCACTCAAAGAAGGAGCAATCAAGGACAGTTAGTCATAATGGAGAGATCCATGAAAACAATACAAGCTGTAGTGCTTTACTCTGCCGAGCATGCTTTCGTGACTGTATTTCCTCTGCATACTATCTGAACTGTAAATAAGAGACAGACTGAGTAATCATAAATTATTTAGATTAATTTTTAAAAGTTGCCCAATCTCCAGTATGTGCTTAGACATGCCTGAGAGAGCGATACTGCTACTTACATAAAACTGTTACGGTATCAAGACTCAATTTTTAACTCGGAGGGGGGGTGGGGTGGAAATCCCACGAGATCGCGAGCGTTTGATTTCATTCAAGGGTTGCTCTGACGGCGTTCCCCAGCCAGAAAGCCAGGTCACGCTGTCACAGTTCACCCCACCGCACACGTTCCCACTCTGGCCACTCATACTTTTTCCCTTCTGCCTTCCGGGCAGGATTTCCAGGCTACAAACAAGGCGGGCACGAGCCCAGCAGCAGGGGCTGGCTGAAGCCAGGCCATCGGGTAGCTCCAAACTTTCCGACGGTCTTTGCCGCCCCGGGTCTGCTGCTGCCGACCCCCCCTCGACCCGGCCGGTCTCCGGGCGAGGCCCCCTGCCCTCCGCCGGCCGAGAGCCGGGGCTGGAGGCGGCCTCTCTGCCCCCTAATCCCCCAGCCCAGCGGCCACCGTCTCCCCGTCTCCCCCTTGCCCCCTGCCACTCCAGCCTCGATAACCTGCCGCCAGTTCACCTCGCCCACGGCCGCTCCCGCCTCCCCCGCTCCTCTCCCCTCGCCTGCCGAGGCGCCCCCGGAGCCGCCTCCCGCCTCCCGGCCCGGCCCCCCTGCGATGCGGGCGCTGCCGCCGCCCCGATGTGCCCGCGGCCGGGCTCCCCTCGCCGCGCCCTCCCGCAGCCCCGCAGCCCCCGCCCGAGCCTCGCCCAGCGCCGCAGGGCACTCACCGGCTCCTCACAGGAGCTCTCCCCGGCCCTTCCCGGCGCCTCCGCGCCCACCACCCAGCGCTTCCATGTGTCCAGCGGCCGCTCGTCTCTCCCGCTCCGTTCCGGGTGCGGCGCCCTCTGGAGTGCCCACTCCACCGGGAGCCCCGCGGGCAGCCGGGGCTGTCACTCAGCCCGCCGGGTTGCCCGGCGCGGTCAGGGCGCTGCGGCTGCCGCCGGCTCGCTGCCCCTTTGTTCGGCGGCGGCGCTGACAGCGGCTGCTGCCGGCGGCGCTCCCCGGGCCCGGGCGGCCGCTCCGCCTCGGCGCCTCCCCGCCCGCCCTCCCGTCGCGCCTCCTGCTCCCGGCCCGGGCCGCAGTCCCGGCTCGCTCCCTCTATCTCCGCCCGCGGTCAACAATCGGCGGCGGCGGCAGCACAAGTTCAGGCCGCCGACCCGGAAACTCATCGGCAGCCGAGGCCCGCGGGGCTCTGACGGGAAGCGGATCCGCCGCGCCGGGGGAGGGAGCGGGGCGGGATGGGGCGGAGCGGGGCGGGACGCGGGGCCTGGGCGGCGGGAGGATGCGGCGGGCAGGCGACGGCCAGTGCGACCGAGGAAGGCAAGGCAGGCAGGGAGCGAGCGGGGCCGGGGGACCGTCCCTGACCTCGGCCCCAGGGAGGTCTCGCGGACGCAGGAGCCGCTTCTGCCCCACGGGGCTGCGGCGGGAGCACCGCTCCGGGGACTAGTGCCCGGCGGCTCCTGGGCGCGGCCGGCGAAGTTCGAGGGCGTTTCCCGGCCGGGCGGCGGGGGCGGGCGGCGCTGGGGCGCGGGGCCGCCCCTGCCTGGCGCCCTCCTCCGAGAGCGGCCGGGTCTCGCCATGCCCACGGAGGCGGCGCTGCGGGGGAGGCCGTGGACCCCGGCCGCCCTCCTCCCTGGTGGGGCCGTGATCCCGGCGGGAACCGCCGTCTGCCTCGTCCCGGGGAGTCCTGTGGGAGGCGGGAAGGGCCGGCGGTGCTGGGAGAAGCTGGAGTGAGGCGCGTTCTTCAGACCGGCATCCTTTGGGATAGGGCCGCGTTGTTGGCACCTGGGTTTGGTCGGGGTCAGTTCCTGGTGGTGCCTTCCGTTTATTGTTACAGCCTTGCAGCCCCATCCTTTTTCACCCTCAGTTTTTTTTTTCTTCATCCGTATCGCAGCTCCTGGGGCTGTCGGTTTCCCAGACGTGCTTATTCCGCTCTGGATTTAGTGCAGAGCACTAGCAGAGGGAGTTGACCCGCTGCTTATTTGCCTGTTTCATCACCTGCCACCCAGGTGGCCTGGCCCTACCTGTGCAGGTTCCCTCCACACAAGCCAGTGAGCCAAGCCAAGTATATCCCAGTACGTGTAAGGATACCCAGGGACCATGCCATTCCCAGCTGCTCGTAAGGGATAGTTGTTTCTTTTTTCTTTTAAAACTCTTGATATCGCAAAGTATAACTTCTCACAAGTTAGTACATTGCTTGTTTAATGTTTCTAGATGCTACTGTAATGGCAATCATTAGATGTTTCTCTTTGGATATTACTGTTCATGTACCATGACTAATTCATCTATTCATCAGTATTTAGCTCAACTGAAGATGAAAATGACTATGCTGTTATTTACATTGGGATTTTTTTTTTACTATGTTTTCAGGTAATCTGATCCCAAGAAAATTACTGGACTAAGGGCATGGGGATCTGAAGACCTCTGTTTCTTCTAGGAGAGGTGAAGAAGCTAGAAATAGTAACATTTAAAATCTGTGGAGAAATTATTCTGCAAAAAGCATGCGCTTAGTGATGCTATGGAATGAAAGGGTGTTCATTTGCAGATGAAGAAAACGATCAGCTGGAAGGGGCTAATGGTCAGGCATGACCTTTCTTTCTCAAAGCTGATGTGTGGAGTGATTTAGCTTTAGGACGTTTTCCCTATAATTTTCATACAATTTTGTGATTATAAGAATTCTCACCTTGGTTTAAACAGAAGGGTAAGCAATTTTTTTCCTTAAATATAAAAGCCTCTGTCCACTTTTTGCAAAAACTAAAGATGTATTCCTTTCAGAAGCTCTGTTTGAATGAATTATGCACCACTTTGCAGTCCCACTGAAGTAAAACTAAGTAAATGAATCCATATTATAGTTTATCAGTTTTGTTACTTGGCTGTAGGCAAGACCATGTTATACTTTGGAGGGGAGGAGAAAAAAACCAGGTATTTTCTTGAAATCCACATGGAACTCATAGAAATGCAGTAATTTGTTGCAGCACATTTTATAATTTACACTGCTTGTCACTTTAGAATCACTTTCTCTTTTGATTTGATATCTTTTCCAGAGTTCTAAATTTCTTTGGCCTTTTGCCTGGCTTGGAAAATGGGGAAGATAGTTACAAAGTGAAAAAAATACATTCTTTTTATTTTAAAAGTGGGTTAGAGAACAAGATTATTTGTAATAAATCTATGGGATGTACTATTTTCCCCTTTCACAAAAAGGAAGCAGAATTATATCAGCCATTGACATTTCTCCAGCTAAAGAACAATAAATGAATAGTGCAAAGTACCAGTGGATATAACCACTACATCCTGAAGTTTACTGTGCTGTTGGATGGCTTTTTCAACTGAACCTTTACTTCCTGTTTATTTGTTGTTTCCAGTGATAAAATAAGAAAGAGAGATGGGAAACCCAGAAAACATTGGAGATGCATATGTTGCTGTGATTCGTCCAAAAAACACTGCTAGCCTCAATTCTCGGGAATATCGAGCTAAATCCTATGAAGTAAAACTATTTTAATTTTTATTATCTATTAGATGTTGGTTTTTTTAAAATAATGCATTATAGTAAAGAAGTAATAATATAACAGAAGAGAAATCTGACAGTAAGATTGCTTAAGTAACGTCTATGTGTGTCATATACCTACTATACATTGCTCCATCCTTATGGTATGTGCACGCTTTATGGTTTTGTAATACCTATGTATTTTATTTCAGGGCCTTTTGCCCTGTGGGCTGCTCATTACAAGGGTGTAGCCTTCTGTTTTTCTCTTTAACCTGTTCTAGAGGTCATCCTGACTTCACCATCCTGCTCCTCAATATTAAGTACTTCTTGAATTGTTACTGCTTTTACAGTAGTACAATGAATAATAATAATAATAAAAAAGGTTCTGTGCTTCTTTCAGTTGTGCTTAAACTCCTTTGGTTTCATTATTGTTTGAAAGATTTTGTTGCTTGAAGTTCCCATTGAAGGCCAAAAGAAAAAAAGAAAGAAAGTTTTGCTGGAAACTAAACTTCGAGGAGGCACTGAGATAACCCAGAGCATCTTGGATTATGTATTAGAAGCCACCAAACCAATTTCACCAGCCAATCAGGGTATTAAAGGTAAAAACATTTTAATCTGATATATTGTTGATAGCTTCATAAAAATGCTTTCCAAAATTAATTTGGGTTGGCAAGGTTGTGCCAAAAGCATGAAATTAGTATAAAAAAAAGAAGGTATGTTTGGAGGTTCATCAAAAAACCCCAAGCTAACTATACAGCTAAACCCTTTAATTTGCCTTTGTGTTCCTTTACCTTCCAACTCTATAAAAATACTTACTAAAAGATTTTTAATAAATGAAACTTTGTCTATACTACTTCTTCACCTCAAGTTTAGATTTATAGCTAAACTTCCAGTAAACCAGATGGAAGTGGCTTTTTTATCCTTAATTTCAGCTAAAACTTGACTTGCACTAGTGAGTTCATAAATTCTAAAGTCTGTTGTTCAGGAGACAGTATCTACATGAAAATATTTCTGGCATAACTGTATCACTTACAGATGGAATTTAATGAGTACGTTTTCTTTTTCATTGTTGTTGCATAGCTGATCTAGTAAAGAACCTCACACTTGTGCTGACAAATTTGTTTTCCAACATATTTCATTTCCAGATTGGTATAAACTATACAGACTAAAGGACTTTTTGTTTCTTGCTATGTACCTTACCTATGTTTTGTACGTAAGGTTATACTGGGAAGGTTCAGTGAGGGCAAGTCAGTGCAGTGCTGACAATTTAAAGGAGGAATAGCTGGTTGCATGGTAGAATGTTGCAGGTGGCAATAGCTGCAGCTGGACAGGCTTAACAAAGCTTGTTATTCAGCAAACACAGAATAACAGAATTAATACACATCAAGGAATGCCTTGTAAAAGCAAAATCTGTCTGTTTCTTGTACAGTTTAAAGAGTTTTAAATTGACTCACACAGAAAGCCCAAACATTAATATGCTCAGCTTAGTGTGACTGCTGCTGAAATATGCAGCTGAGGTCAGACAAGCAAAAAAACCCCCTGCTATAAAGAGCTACAGTCATGTCACTTTTTCATGTTAATGGGTTTATACATATTTATGTTTTTCTTATGTATTTAGATTTTCTTAGCTTGCTTTAGATTATAGGTGTAATCATAATTGTTTTCTTCCTAGAAATTAGGGAGATTGTTTGGTAAGCTTTCAGATAGCCAACTCTAGATTTTTTTTCTTTGTTTTGTTGATTAATTAATTGTTTTGTGTTGTTTTTTTTAATACTGTGCTAGGAAAGCGTGTAGTGTTAATGAAGAAGTTTCCTCTAGATGGAGAGAAGGCAGGCCAGGAGGCATCTCTTTACGTTGTTCCAACTGTTGTGAAAGGTAATGCTGAGCATGATTTCTGAAGCTGCACCCGTTTTAGCAGAAGTTCACTTGAGGGTTCATTTTTTTATGAGTGTAATGTATGGCATTTTCTGTATTTAAACATTAAAAGTTCCATTCAGGTGAAAAACTCTCTCTGAATATTTTAAAACTTGAAGAAGTTACTTAAAATTATGGAAAAAAACTTGTATTTAATGTATTGCCTTTGTTTCTGTAATGCTGTCACACTTCTGTTTTAAGCAGTATTTGTGCACTTGATTATATTTTCAAAACATGTGCGTTAATTTGTGTAGAATTTGCTGAGTGCAACTGTAAGACATCCTACTCAGTTCAGTGTTCTTTACTGGGAGAAGAATGCTTATTGAAGTCTCTACACAGTAAATACAGTCTAGAAGGCAAAGTAAATGTCTTGTCAGAAAAATATTTTAAAAAACACCCTCAAACCTGAAGTAAATGTCTCTGTGCTTTTGGAGGAACTTCTTCATTTTTGCCTTACTTATAGCATTTAATGATGAAACCTATCAAATAGATACCATTGTGGAGTTACCAATAACGATACATACCCCTTCTAGTCCTGAGTCCTCTTCTTTTTTTTCTGGCAATAGTATACATTTAACATTAATTCCTCAGATGAAGCTGATCACACTGATGAAATAGTGACAGAATACTTTTAGGTTTTTAAGGCTACCCTTTTGGGTTGTGAATTAATGTAAAGATTGTATGTAATTTCTATCAATCATTATTTTGAAAAAATTAAGTTACTCTAGTCTAAAGTTAAAATATACTTTTAGTTAGGAAAGTGTAACTACAAAAGATGCAGAAGGGAAAATAAGATTCTTCTCACTGATGTGTCTTCAGAGCATGTTTCCTTTTTAGATAATACGAAATATACATACAGTCCTGGATGCCCCGTGTTCTACTGTTTACAAGACATCATGAGAGTCTGCAGTGAATCCAGCACCCATTTTGCTACGCTGACTGCAAAAATGTTAATTGCCTTGGATAAGTAAGAAATGCCATCAGTAAAAATACATTAAAATATAATAATTTCATATTTTATATAAAAATATAAATATATATAAAAGATAATTTGTAGATGTAGCACATAGTTTTTATAGGATTCTTGTGATTAAGAAGGAAATCATCATGATATCATGTTATGGTCTTCATGTTTATCAGAAATTGAAACCCTGACAACAGATTTTTAAATCTTTCTAAACTTTTTTTGCTAACTCAAGAAGGGTGTGCTTATCTAAATCAAGTGGCTTTTTGGAAGTTCTTGCTCACAGTGAATGTTTTATAAAAGATTTACATTTAAATTAAATCTCCCTGTAGAAAGGGAGTGCATCTTCCCTAGACACACAAATCTATTTGCACTAGGGAATTAAATTTTAGAAAGGTGATTAGTTGTTTAGCCAGATTTATAGTAATTTGAAGTTTGAGTATGTGAGCAGGTTTTTGTTTTTTTTAATGTACTCTGAACAAGGAATATCGGAGCTTATTTGCATTAATAAAGTTATCTGAAACTCATGGCTAACATGAAAAATCACACATTACAGGCTATTATCTAAAAGGTTCTGTGTGTAGGGTTTTTAGAGTTTATTAGTAGAGTTGTAATATTTCCATGTATACCATCATACCAGTTATATTTATTTGCTGCTTACCGAATGCCTTCAGACTCTAAGCTCTGCTTAAAAGTGTTTCAAGCCTCATAGTTGTGAGAGAAGCCTTGGAAGTATAAGAGAAAATAGTTTATATTCGTTGTTCTCTATGTACATAATCTGAAAAAACACTTCTCAAATATTCAAACTGCCACAATTAATTTATCCACCAAATATTTAGAGAAAATGCCTGAAAATACCTTAGAGTGTGTTTATAGCACAATGACCACAATTTTACAGTCCTCCTTCCCAGCAGGACCATGAGTAAGTGAAGAGAGTGCTGCTTTTGCAGCACGTCGTAGCTTGGGTCTGGGACTTAAAAATACAGGCCTAAGCATATTCATTAAACTGCAGGTCACCTTCTGCCATCCTTGCACGTGGTTCTTAGACAGACAAGATCTCAGTGGTCTGTCAGTTGATGTTCAAAGTATGTACATCTCTTTCATCTATATTTCCGGGCTAAATCACTAAACTGACTGTATCGTATTCCAGCAAAGCACAGGTTTACCTCAAGCTCATGAGAAAGCATGTGCAGAAACCTAAATACAAACCTGGCTTTAGACCCTTAGTTAAAATGCGCACCACTCAACATAACACTAAAATAATTTAGGGGTTCAGTGAAGATACATTTATCCAAAAACCGAGATGAACAACTTGACCTGAACCTTGTTATATTACATATGTGGCAGGAAAAAATGGAGCAGGTGCACAGTACTGACTTTCCCCAGTAGCTGAGAGTAAGAGGGCTTTAAAGCTCTGTACTGTCAGTAGGAACACACTGGGAAGAGAATAAACTTCAGCACATCTTTGTGAAAAAGCAGGTGGTAGCCTATGTGAAAGAGACTTAGCAGTTTGGAAACTGGACCTTATGGGTTTTTTGCCTTTTCCTGTCTCTCCCTAACGAAACACATGAGTTGGAAGGCTTAAGTCAGCATAGATATTGAAACTCCCCCTTAAAAAAACTGCTTTAATTTTCAAAATTTGTATGTTGAGAGTAGGAATATTGATAAACTGAAAGTAAACAAAATGGTGACACATTGGTGTGGTTTTTTGGTTATAACCAGTGTTACTCATAGCTTATAATTTCCTTTTCTTTGAAAGTTTGCATCCGCAGGAAATGTGTTTCAGCAAATACAATTGCTTAACTGTGTGTGGTTAGCAAATTTTATATTTGGGGATTAGTCATATAAAATTGACTGTGCACATTATAATGTTTTTAATTAAAATTTGTGATTATCATACATACAACTCTTAATCAAACAAAATAATGGACAAGATGACCAAAATAATCCTTTTCTACCTGAAAATGAGTTATTCCCCCATTCTCTCCTGCAGGTGGTTGGATGAACGGCACACCCAGTCTCACTCCATCCCAGCTTTATTCAGGCCGTCTCCTCTTGAGAGAATTAAAACAAATGTAATAAACCCCGCCTATGCTATAGAACCTGGCCAAACAGAAAGCTCATTACACATGGGTTATACTGCCCTGGAAATAAAGAGTAAAATGCTGGCATTGGAGAAAGCAGATATGTGTATCTATAATCCTTTATTTGGATCAGACCTTCAGTATACCAACAGGGTAAGAACTATATTTTCTTTTTATATTTTTAAAACATACATACATTTTCATTCATACATTGATTTATTTGATATGGATGTGTACTTTATGTTTAATAGAGTCAGATTTCATTATTTACCAATAGATGTGCAATAATTTCTCAAATCCTCAATTTGAACATCATTCTCTTTAATTATGAAATGTTACTATCATAACTTTGGTTTCAAGAGAATACCTTGCCTGGATGGGGGATTGCGTAGCAAATCTCAGTATGATATTTCTTCAGTGATTTTAAATTATGTCTTCACAGGTTGACAAGGTGGTAATAAATCCATACTTTGGCCTTGGAGCCCCAGACTATTCAAAGATTCAGATTCCTAAAAGAGAAAAGTGGCAACGTAGCATGAGCAGTGTCACAGAGGACAAGTATTATGTTACATTCCTTTTTCATTAATGGATAATTTTGTTTTGTTATATTACAGTAGCACTTGGTAGACTTGGTCCTATTATTTTAGGGCTTTACTGTATAAATACTTTTTAATTAAAAATTCTATTTTAAGTCTCTAAGTACTGAAACACAACAATTAAAGGATGGATTAAGAAAGGTGTAAATTATAAACATTAGAGAAGCATTAATTAGCATAAGAAATACAGCTCTGGCTTGACTACTGCATGACAAAAATACTAGCTGCGTGAACTTCAATTTTATTCTTCATGTAGATCTGCAGTTAGTGCTATGTTAGTAATTTTTTAAATGCTGATGTTTTCTACTATTGTGATATTTCTGAATGGTGTTTTCCTCCTGTTTCCCCTTTTAATTCATAGGGAACACCAGTGGGTAGATGATTTCCCTCTTCACCGCAGTGCTTGTGAAGGCGACTCTGATTTACTAAGCCACCTTCTGGATAAAAAGTTCTCTGTTAATCAGTTAGATAGTGACCATTGGGCACCAATCCATTATGCGTGCTGGTGAGTCAATGAGAATTTTGCCAATCAAATGCATTCTTGCTATCGTGATTCTGTAGCACTGATAATTTATGTAATTTATCAGCCTCAAAAAGAAGAAATAAAAAACATCTAGACTTCTTGTGCTGTGATTCTAATATATGTTAGTGTTAACCTTCTGAAGAGAAAGATTGCTTCAAGTTTTGAGATAATTTTCAGCTGAATGGTTTTGGAAGAGACCAGGTGTGGAGATCATGTCATCACTTACCTATTGCGTGTTACATCTCTCCTGAGTACCTATTCTAATTCCTGTTGGAGACACCGGGTCTAGTTTAGTGTGGTAACTTCTACAGTCTTTGTTGGCTAAAGGCTGTGAGCAGTTTTACAGCACAGCAGTATCTGAGCTGAGCATGTTTTGGTGCTGGTGAACCTTTGAGTGGGAAGCTGAACTAGGTAATTTACAGAGGTCAACTTGTCTGACTATAACTGTGATTTAATCTGTAAGTACTTGAAAGCTTTCCTCGGTTGTAAAAATGTTTTATCTTTGTAGCAGTTAGTCTTTTGTAGATATAGTGGTCAGTATGTCTGACGATATGAATAACACAAAAATAAAACTTGATAATAAAACCCCCACAACCTTACTTGATTTTTAGTGTTTGTGAGAAAGTTTGCAAATAATTTTTACAGAAAGTATACACAAGAGTTACTAGTTATAAGTATGAGGCTGAAGAATCCTCAGGATCCATTCTGCCAGAGTTCAGAAGCTGAACTCTGATTGTCACACAGTTGGATTTTTTTTCCCATCCGAGGCTGGACTCTGTTCAGCCATGACTGAATCACTACAACTGCCCAAACTTAGCTAGTTTAAAGCAAGGTTCAGTTTGTCTAGAATTAATCCGATAAATGGTTACTAGACCAATGAATACCAAAGAAGTGCAGAACTGATGTTAATTTCTACAAACTTAATAATGTTCCATTTTCATTAGTGTAATTTGGAAGCTGAAAGCTCTTGAGTGTAGAAAAAGACTTTTTCATATTTAGGACTATCTGAAAAAATATTTTACATTTGCTGTGTTTGTTCTGCTTTAACCCTATCTGCAGGTATGGAAAAGTTGAAGCCACTCGAATGCTGTTGGAGAAAGGGAAATGCAATCCAAACCTTTTGAATGGCCAACTTAGTTCTCCTCTTCATTTTGCTGCTGGAGGTGGCCATGCTGAAATAGTACAAATTCTACTAAATCATCCAGAAATTGACAGAGTAAGTTCAGTTTATGTATAGAAATAGAAGTTTTAGCAACATTTTCTAGCTTGTGTATGTGAAATATTTTGTGTCCAGATCACAATGTGTAAACACAATGATCTTGTTAAGATATTAAAAAAAATGGTTAAATATATTTCATTACATCTACTCTTCCCATTTTATATTAATTAAAATTTTGAACTCTATGATCAAGGACCTTAACTGTCTCAAAAATGTGTAAATGTTTTCCCAGTCTCCAGTGAAATAGATCTAGAATCAGTGTTTCTGTTTGTGTTTATAGCACATTACTGATCAACAAGGAAGATCTCCACTGAATGTCTGTGAAGAGAACAAACAAAATGAGTGGGAAGAAGCTGCAAAACTACTGAAGGAAGCCATAAATAAACCTGTATGAGTTCATTTTCTAATTAATTTATATTTAATTTACACATAAATTTGTAGAAGAGCTAGGGTCATTTACAGCTGTTACTGGAAAAGTACAGTACACTGAAATTACTAGTGAAAATATTGGCAAACTGACATTTTGTCTCTTTAAACGTTTCTGTTCTGTTTCATGTCTCAAGAAATACATGTAAGACTTTAAATGTGATGCTCTGATTTATTTGTAGGAGCATCACATCAGCTTCTCATTTTATGTCTACTTTTGATCATAAAACCATCAGCTTTCTTTGTGCATTGTCATCAAATATGTTGATAAACAGGAGCATTCAGCTGGTTAAATGTAGGCTTCTGCAAAGTAGACCTTACATCAGTTATTCAGTGTAGGCTTCCTTGGCAGCCAGTGGATATTTAGCCAGGGTAGGAAACAAAATTTACGATGTGATTCCTCTTATCCTGAAATAGATTTAATATTAGCCAAATTATATAAAACCACTTGTTTCTTTTGTTTGATTCAGATGCAACTGGTATCCCTGTAGGTAGTTGGTAGTAAACTTGTCAGTTTTTCAAGATGTTTTAAATTATCTTCATTTCACTCTGTATGAATGACCTTCCAAAATAATTAAGGAAGAAACTGACCTTTATTTTAGGGTTCTTATTATGCAGTTGATTAAATGGCAGGTGTGTGTGTCTAATGACTCTGAAGACTAATGCACACATTTTAAGTAGATTTCACAGTGTAAGAGGTGATATCATGTTGTCACTTATTACTATTTAATACATTCAAATAAAAAAACCAGAAATTACTGCAGTAGGAGGGACAGTGACTACTGCAGCAAAAATAGACTGATGTTTTCCATTCCAGGCTCATTTTCAGTCAGTTGTCATTTTCAAGTCATCCATCTTTTTTTTTCAAAAGTTTTTGGAACTCAGTTCTTGATGACTTTGTAGATTTGAGAAAGGGAAATTCTTATGACTTTTTTATTCAAGCAGCTGAAACGTTTAACCTGTTAAAGAGATGAAAACAAGACATTTCATTAATTTATGACTTGTGTGTATATGCTTCAAACACCTGATTTACGTTTACGTATGACTTTCAGGAGGCATGTTGTGGGCTCACATACAACTTCCAGTGAAAGCTATGGGAGTTCTGGAGGGGAAAAGGATTTATTAGTAGTAATATTATAGAAGCACTGTAAGATTTAGTGAGATAGTATTCTTATTGTAGTGGGGTCTGAGTAAAAGGTAGATGCTTCCCTCTGAAAGATGAGTCTTTTTAATATAGACTAATGAAGGGGAAAATTCATACCCTGCCAGTAACAGCAAGGTAGACATTTTGGGATATGCATAGGCAGTTGAGCCCAAATCCCTCAAGGAACTTTTAAATGCCTGCTTGCCTTCAAGTTTAAAAGAAGTCCTCAAAATATCAGTAAGATCTTTCTTGAAGGTATTGTTTTAAAAAACACAGTATATGAACTTGCACAGGACAAAACCCAAGCAATTTTGATAAATATGCAGGAATTGTGCAGTGCTCTTTTTTCCAACATTATGGATGTTGCTGAATTATGATAAAACTACTTTCCTCTTCAGAAGCACCAACAAAAAGAATTTTAACAAGTTGGATTTTTAATACGTTTACATTTTTGTGTAGTATGAAAAGGCGCGAATTTACCGTATGGATGGATCATATCGTTCTGTCGAGTTGAAACATGGAAACAATACCACTGTGCAGCAAATAATGGAGGGCATGCGCTTGTCTCAAGAAACTCAGCAGTACTTCACTATCTGGATCTGTTCTGAGAACCTCAGTAAGTAAACAAGGATGATGAGATTTTATCATAGTTTGTTTCTGCTTGTCGTTAGGAAAAAATAATACTGTCCTAGGAAAGTAGGATATGTGCTCTCTGACAGCCTTTACAGCCTGATGTCTCCAAACTGTGCTTTCAGAGCTACAGAGCTTTTAGCTTTCACGTTGGGGATGCTCAGTCGGTCTGCCTGTGGATCACTGTGGCACCTAGAATGTATTTCATCCAGGAAGATGAAGCTAGTCCAGGTTGTCTTTCTGTTACAGGGCACCTTGGCTGTCATAGTCTTTACTGCTGGCTTATCCTGGTTTTAGTTGTATTTTTCTTCCCAGCATTCTGAAATCGGATGCATGTACTTGTTTATACTGATGTTTAGTCTTTTTAAAACTAGTAATTAAAGCAAGCTGATTAATGTTTTTTTTCATTAGGTCCTTTAATCATGTGAATTTTCATGTGTTGTGCACCAAAATAATTTTTTATAAATGAATTCTCAGATCTGTTTGGTGAGAGAGACTTCTGATGCAAAAAGTCACTATTACGTTTGTTGTATTTTTTGGTATTTCTGGTCTAAATGAAAAGTATATTATAATTTTTGTTTGAGTTATATAGGAAAAGATAAACAGGACCCCCAAAGAGTCAATGATTGTGATTGGGTTTTGTCAGAAATTGTGGTCAACAGTAGGGCTGCAACACGATAGCTATGGGACACATTATCATGGATTACAAAGCACAATTCAGGTCTGGTAGGATACTGTGCTCTAAATATTGCAGAAATCTTTTCTTCAATCTTTAATCTTTCTCTCCCAGTGTCATGCCTTTTACCTTTTTACTTTGCTGTATGCCACACAACTACTGTAACGCTGAGATAAACATAGATGTTAATATCTGGAAGAAAAGGAAGTGTTTGAGTGTTAAAGTGTTGCTGCTTTTGCCTTTTCTAAATATGTCGTGTTTTCATAGAGTCATTTGCATTTGCACCTTTGCATTTTAGGGGATGAGCTCACTGATACATTGTTTAAAACCAAGTAATTCTCTAGATATTTAGTTCGAAAATGAGCTTCTGTTTTATGACTTCAAACACCTAAGGGACAAGTTTCCTTATGAAGTACGTTTCTTGCAGTTTGCATACAACTGTAAGGACCATAGATGTCTTGCTGGTAGGACAGATAATGTTTTCCTGTGTTTGAAAATAAGATGGGTAAGTAAGTTGAATGAACAGATTGTTCTCAGTGAATGATGTTGCACTATAATAACATGTCTGTTGAAGTTTTTCCTATAATGTGGGATGTCACAGTATGAAAGCCAGAGCAGTGACAAGGAGGCAGATACAGCCTCACTCCTAGAAAAAAACAAGCAATGATCTAAGGACAGGAAGGGTGAGTGAGCTGAAGGTACAGGCTAGTACATAGTAGGACTGCAGTTGAAAGCTTTGTATTAATTTTGCAGGTCTCGTATACACAGGAGAACATGAAACATTGAATGACTTTATTCTGCAAAGAATCAAGACATTTTACAGATTAAAAAGAAAAATATCTGTTCTGAAAAGTTTATGGTCAATATATATGTACACAAAAATGGCAAATACATTTATAAGATAAATTATAACTGTATTTTTCTGTCAGAAATAAGATTATTGGACTTTGTATTTCTCCTACAATAATAGAAAAAACATTCTCTAATGTTTTATTATCTTGCTTTTAAGGTCAGTCTTGGTACTCAATTAAATTTTTAAATACCACTTACTCTTGAGAAACTGAAAATAACAAAGTTTCATCACTACTGCATTTAGTGAATTGATGCAAGGAGTTTTTCCAATAAATCCATGTTTTCAAAACCTTCTATATGTAGCAGTTTAGAAAACATAGGGAAAATATTTGTTAATGAGTCCTCAATTTCAGATACCCTAATTTTGGTGCAGCGTTTAATAATTTATGTAATAATTTTATTTATTTATATATATATTTAATAATATATGTGTGTGTATGTGCTGGGTTATTCTGGTTTTTTATTTAGAAACAAACCCTGTTATTTTTCAGGCCTCCAGCTGAAGCCATATCACAAGCCTTTGCAACATATTCGAGACTGGCCTGAAATATTCACTGAACTGACAAACTTGGATCCTCAAAGGGAAACTTCACAGCTTTTCCTGAGAAGGGATGTGAGACTTCCACTGGAAATAGAAAAAAAGGTCAGCATTTGGAAGTGAGAGCTTGAAATCATGGTCAGATTCAGAACACTTTGACCATTAGCACTCAGCGTGTATAGTGACTGTAGTAATATCCAAACTTATTAAGCCTGACATCTCGTCTCCTTTTTTGTAATAGTTTGAGTCTTCACATTCTTCCCTCCCTCCCTCTCACCTTCCTGCCATCTCTCTATTCTCTGTCTCTTTCTCACCCTCTCAGCTGTTTGGTTTATCATCTGTCTCTGTGTGTCAGTCTCTGTCTGTCTGTCTGTCATACAGCTAAAAACAACCTGCCTGATTTTCTTTCTCTTCCTTGTGCTGTTGTTTTTCAGTTATTTAATTGGTTGGTTTTGATGGGATTATTCAAACATATTATTCAAAATGAATTCACGGAGGAAAAATCCATATATATCAGTATTTCTATGAACCTTCTGATTGGGCATGGTATCCTGGTCACCTTTCATTTGTTTGTTAGATCAGTGAAGTGTTGAAGTAAATCAATGAAAGTATGTCATTTTTTCTATTACAAAGCACTACTAAAATGTACACTTCAGTCAGGATCACACCTTTGTCTTCTGTTTCTGAATCAGTGAGAAATTGTATTTATAGTTTCTAAGCTCATTTTCTTTTTTACAAAGAAATAATATTACTTGTATCTTTTTAACAGATTGAGGATCCATTAGCTATTCTTATTCTTTTTGATGAAGCCAGATATAATTTACTGAAAGGTTTTTATACATCACCTGATGCCAAGTTGATCACCCTGGCAAGTCTGCTTCTACAAATAGTCTATGGAAATTATGAGAGCAAGAAACATAAACAGGGCTTTCTAAAGTAAGTACGTGTGTTGAAAACTTAAAATTATGGGTTTAGATTAAGTATTTTTAGATAGCACTTACTATGGAACTCTCACATTTTAGGTATGATATATTTGTTGTTTTTCTCCATTACTGAGCTGTAGTTCATAGTAATCACATAACCCTTGTATGCATTAATAGAAGCTGGACACCAGGTCTGAAAAATGTATTGATCTTAATTGCTGCAGTTCCAGGCAGAGGGAGGGAGGTTCTGTATCCTGTAAATCTGTCCTGAGATTACAATAATACCAATATGAGTAAGTGTATTCATGTGAGTGAAGGGTTCTGACAGGACTGAGACTTTGAACAATGCTGAGGAAAACAGTTAGACCAGCTTCTGGGGCTGACTTTCCTCCCTCTTTGAAGAGGACAGATCAAAGATATAATTTATCTTCTGTCATTGGTATGAGAACTGCTGTACTAAATTGGTCAAAACCATAGCACCAGTAGGGTTCTGCCAGATGGTATTTTTCTCTCCCCTTCTCTCTGCATGCCAGTGCAACAGTAGCTGAGCTATTCTGGGATATGGCTTTTTCTTCCCACGTACATTTCTACAGCAATATCTGAGACCATCAAGATTCCAGTTCTCTACTGTGTGCACCTTCACCCCCTGCCATCTCCACCTCATTTCATTCATGGAACAGCAGCTGTGCAGTTCTGGAATGTTACTATGCTTCTCATCTCCTCTCATTCACAGCATCAACTGAGCTGTCTTGACTTGCTGGTTTTTTAGTTGTATTGTCCTGCAGTTACACAGTTGGTAGATGGAGCTTGAGGAGAATGGGATATAAGTGGGATTACCCACTTGCATGAGCGTGCAGTTCAACGCCAGCTGGGTTTAGTACAGAACTGCCCGCTGCTGACTTCCAGCAGCTGCAGGGTGGTGTTCCTGTTCCTGTCCACACTGAGGCATATCAGTACTGTGGTTCCAAGCTGAGCCTGCTCAATGGAAGTACTTGACTCTACAGACAGAACTACCAGGAAAGATAGTTTGGCACAGAAAAAAAGCCTCATGAGCATTTGGCCATGCTTTCTTGTCTATGTTCAAATGAAGATGTTGGAAAATATCTCAAGTTGTTCTTCAGACGATGAAAAGATTTACAGTCTGAATTTTTTTTGCAGTTGACATAAATGTTTATTAAAACACAGGTAATTTCAAAAATATATCCAGGCTTTTGTTTCTGTGAGAGTATCCTTGACCTTAAAGATCTGGATGCATTGTCCTGTGTAGGATTCTTGCTTGGTAGATGATATGTGCAGTTACAGACAAATACAGTTTAAAAATTACTCAATAGGTTACATTACTAGGTTTTGAGACTGTCTTAATTGTACATAACAGCTTGCTTTCTTCCTTTTTGTTTTTTGTTGGCTGTGTTTTGTTTTTTTTGAAAAAGGCTACTTTATATAAGTAGCTTCTCTTTCATGTCATGTAACATATAACTTTTATGTGGAAATGAATTGGGCCAAGTCCTCAGTGGTGCTGACTGCAAGAGTGGAGGGAAGAGTATCTACAGTCTGTCATATTTTCCAAGTATGTGATATGCTGATACAAATGGCTGTTTGTATATAATTTTGGCTTCCAAACTGGAATTCACCAAACTGCTCTGTAACCAACTATGAGTCATGTGTTCTGCTGCTGGCATTTTCTCTCCATGCCATGTCCATGATGTGTGACACAGACGGTATAACATAAAGCTGGATTTCCATTAACTGACTGTTATACTCTACCTTAGGAAGCCTTGGCTTACATTTCAGGAAACCATCTCACCTGATGAGATAAGATAGAGTAGGAGCTGACTTTCTAGCTCAGTGTGTGACTTGAAGGTACAATGAGGCAGACATTGTTCTTTCTCCTTACTTTATTTAGTGAAGAAAAGCTTTTTTTCTGCTTTGTTTTTCTCTTAGTGAAGAAAATCTTAAATCTATCGTACCAATCACTAAACTAAAAAGTAAAGCTCCTCATTGGACAAACAGGATACTTCATGAATACAAGGTGAGATAAATAAGCAAATAGTAGAAAATCCTGTTCTTAAACATTTTTTGACACTTTGGTTGTCAGGTAATGAACAGAAATACTGGTATATAAAGCTAGAAATGTGTACGTTCTGAATGTTTGGGATGGGTTTTTGGAATGTTTTTCTAGTACAATTATAGTTGATCTCTTTGTTAGAAGTAAATATATTTGCAATCTGTTAATTTATCTTCAGTATTACCTCTGTTTTGGGGATGCTTCCAATTCAGGCATAGATGTAAAAAAGTCTACTCTAACTTATATTTTCATGTCTGTTTGTTGTGATAAATTACCAAGTCCTTTTTGCCAGTGTAACCTGTATGTTGGGGATCTGATAGTGCTGCTGATGTGCACGTGCGCACACACACGCACACAAACTCCTTTGATTAGAGCAGTTGATTGAGCAAAATTTTTAAATGTGGACTTGGGCTTCTTCTGTAAAATACATCTAACTGAGGGCTGCAGTCAGTTTAAATTTGTGATCTTCATAAATAATTGTGGAAAAAGTGAGGTGTGTCAGGAAGAGAACTGTACCAGCTGACATGCATCACTAAAGGTAGCTCCCAGGAAACACTGCAGATCCACCCAGGGAATGTTTTCAGACCTTGCCCCTCTTTTTGAGATGAGAGTATTCAATCATAAACTTTCTCTTGGTGCATGCACCTTTTTTGTCAAAATCAGCAGATCATTCCTGTTCTTTTTAATATAGATGAAGGAGGGGATGATGGTGGTCTAAGACTATGGTGTATCAAAGTAGTCTCTATTCTATCATCAGATTATATGTAAGAATGAGCACAGCGTTCTTGACTTCTGCTCTTAGGCCATTATTTTGCGTTGTGGGATATGGGGGAAGGAGAAAGGAGATGTAATCTTTTGTTCCAAAGATTTTGCATGCTAAAAATGGCTGTGTAGAATTCAGGTAAGCTGTAATGTAGGGTGGGGATCCAGAGAGGTTGATCCTGTCTACCACACCCACAGTCATGGCCCTCTAATTGTGGAAGACTTGTGCTCTCTCTCATGTCTGTGCCTTCTCACCTTGTGCACAGCCCAACCAATTTTTTTGTTAGAGTGCTTGGTATCAGTTTTTTTTGAGGTGGGAGCACTCCAGGGATCGTTTGTTCTGACTGTCTCACTCTACTGAAGAGGAAGGAACAGAAGCCTCTCTCATTCTGAGGGAGAACTCCACTAATGAAAAGAGATCTTCACCCCTGTTTTGCTTAGAAAACAAACAAACAAAAAAAATCCATGTTTTTGGGGGGAGGTACTTGCTCATCTTACCATGCCTCCCTGGATTAGACCCCTTAAAGGAGGAAGAATGCCTGGTTTTAAGGATTGTGATGCATTTAGTGTCAGATGGGTGCACAGATGCTTATCCCAAGTCCAAATTACTTCTGAGAAAGGCAAAACTGTGAGGCCCTTCAGAGGTTACATGTCTGTGTTCAGATTTCTGAGGCTTATACAGGTATCTGGATTTTGTCTCAGTCTCTTGTGGCATTTGAGCCTTTCTGTGGCTCTGAGATTTAATTTAGCTGTGGGAAGATGGTTGCTGGGAAAGCACTTTGGAAATATGTATTTAGCGGGAATTGCACTAAACAGGGGGTTTTCTTCAAGTAACCACAACTGTTTGAGAAGACTTGTTGATTGCCATTGTTCCTTTATTTCTAGAATCTGAGCACCAGTGAAGGTGTCAGTAAGGAGATGCATCACCTTCAGCGCATGTTCTTGCAGAATTGCTGGGAAATTCCTACTTATGGAGCAGCTTTTTTCACAGGACAGATATTCACCAAAGCAAGTTCAAGTAGCCATAAAGTCATCAAAGTGTATGTAGGAGTAAATGTAAAAGGGCTGCACCTCCTCAATATGGAAACAAAGGTCAGCTTAAGTGTACTGCCAGTGATAACTATTAAACTTAATTCTGTTCTCTTAAAATCTTTGTACTAGAAGTAATTTCACATCCAACTGTTTAGTTAAACTTGACTGAAAATTTCCAAGATTTTAAGATCTTTTAAAGTCACTACTAACAAAGTCTTGTATAGACTTTACTACTTTATAAACTACAACTACATTGTGGAATGTGCTTCTTTTAAGTCTGAATCCTGTCTAAGTGAACAAAGAAAAGTTCAGTCTGTAGGTATGGAGGATATTTTCTGAGTGACAGTTTCCTACATTTCATTGTAGGCTTTACTTCTCAGTCTAAAGTACGGTTGCTTTATGTGGCAGTTGGGAGATGGAGATACATGTTTCCAAATCCACAGTCTGGAAAACAAAATGAGCTTTATTGTGCATACCAAACAGGTAAGCATTATCATTTTTCAATTATCAATGTTCAATTTTTTTTTTTTCCTAAGTTAGTTGCATCCCTATTCTCTCTGGAGGTTGACCACCTTTGCACAGTATAAAAGAAGCCCAAGCCAAGCCCCTGCAGAAATTATTTTAAAACTTTCATATTAATATTTCAGAATGTTTGCTTGTTTTCCTAGCATGTGAAGTCTTCAGAATTCAAAATACATAAAATGCATCTGTAATCACAAGGGTAAACTTTTTTTAATTGAAACTGTTTGTTGCATGTGCCCAATCCCTCATACTCTAAGGATAATTCCAAATATAGTGAGAACTACAGAGCTGGAGATGGTAACTTTGCGATTGAAACTAGAAGAGATTGAGAATTGCATTTGTCGTATTCTTGATTGTCATTAGTTCTGAAATGCTGATAGAATTTAATTGCATACCTTTACATAGGCAGGTCTCGTCGTTAAACTTCTGATGAAATTAAATGGCCAGTTAATGCCAGCTGAAAGAAATGAATGATCGAAGGGAACAATAGTTACAAAGTGGCATCTGACAGCTAAGCAAAAAACAACTTGTGTCTCATCGTAACAGAAGACTTCCATGTACATGAGTTTTACACAATAGAAAAGTCGATTTGTACAGTTTTTTAACTTTGTACAGAAGCTGCATGGTTTATTTTTTTAAAAAACTCTACAACATATCTATTATTTTTATAAATATTTTTGTGTTTCATATATAAACTATTGTAGGGCTTGAGCTTAACCAGTGAAGCTAATGAAATGTAAGTGGTTTACCGAGTTGGACGAGTATGAATCCTGTAAAGCTTTTGTTCCCAGAGGACTATGGGACTATCAGTGCCATTAAGCAAGCGTCAGTTAACCTATTTACCTTTCATGTCATTCTGTGGAACATCAAGGAAGTATGGTATATGTTACAGTATTTTGTAGACACACTTAATTTCTAAGATATGTGGATAAATATGCTTAAAAGACCAGTTAGACCTTTGAGCAAGTACTTTTGATAAACTCTTGGTTTTTGTTTGGTTTCTGACAAACATTTTTGCTTGCTTTATTTTTACTCTTAACTTTCTCATACTTTGTATTCATATTTATTCTAAAATGTTGCATGAGGATGCCAAAAGGGAAATACTCTAAATCATTCAGAAGCCATATTGAATGTTTAGCATGCTTGTTTTTTAAAATGGATTTTTACTTTTACTGTGCAATATAAAATGTGTATATGGAGGAGAGGGAGATACGGATTTACAAATGAACCTTACTCAGAGGACTTCAGAAAGTTTAAATAAATCCTACCCTGGATTGCAACACATATGCAGTAACAAAAACTCATATAGGAGGTACTAAGTTATTTCTGTTAAACTAATTTTCCTACTGATTGCGTACTTCAGTTTCTTGAGGCTGTGAGCAGTGCAGGATGCAGGAATGAAGATTTATATTGCAAGGAAGCCAGATACAGTTTTAAGTATTCTGCCTGCTCTTTGTAGAGTCAGGACTGGGGCTCAACATGTTGGGTCCCAAGTGTAAGGTGGGATTCTATGCAGTCTGAAACATATCCTTGTACATTAAAATAGAATCCGTAACACAAATCGTTAAAGTTTCTGGTTGTATTTCAGGGTTTTAAGTGCACTTGACTATTTCTTCCATGTAAACTGCATGCTAAAATAGTGTGCAATATTTTGTAAAAAAATTTTTTTTTAAAAATAAAAATTAGCACTTGCCTCTCAGTTTTGAAATAAAAGTTAAAATGAATGTGAAGAACTGTGCTATTGTATAGTAACTTTACTCTTACCTTACTACTAGTAAGTGCAGTTTAAGAAATTAAAGTAGTAAGCCGTTAAAAAGGTGAACAGGAGACTTATATTTTGTATTCTTCTTAGCAAGCTATACTTTTCTACTTAAAATTCACTGGCCTAAATAACAGTAAATCTTCATGGATTGTTATATTTTATTTAAGGTAAATAATGCAACAGTCGGATCCTTCATAGTGCATCCCTGCTATCACTTGGCACTGGTATCAGAAATACATTTCTCTACATAGCACTTTCTTAGAAAACTAGAGGAAAATGTTAAGATGGTGTGTCAGTTGCCTATTTAACAATACAATTAATATGCCTTATTTCTGTATAGTCCTTTCTGCTACATTCGTATTTATTACTACCTAATAAATTGTTTGCAACAAGTCACATCTGGTGTTTTTATTTTTGTAATCAGCATGAGCCATCAAATGTTACACCAAGCAGGTGTTATTACCAAAAAGCAGGAACTCGTAACAGGCTCATCTTTGTAGGGTATGTAGGAAGAGCATTGGAGAGGATCATAGGGAGAGTCCCATGGTGACTATAAATTAAGGTAGTGCACCTCAGAAACCACTCCAGAATTCATCAGGTAAACTGGAAACTGTTAGTCATGGCAAAGCAGAGGTTTGCAGATGATGCACATCAGTGGAGCCGTTGAGAGCCCAACTCAGCAGTCCCAGCAGCCACCCGGGTACTTTGAGCTCCTGCTGGCTGGCTTGTATAATCCTTTCATCTGGAAGTGGGGAAATGAAAAATTGGAACAGAGGGAAATCCAACACCACACAGACACACCATTGGTAACAACCCTTGTATCTCTACCAAACAAAAACCCAATGAAAACAAGCTGTAAGATGGGCAAATCTGATAGTTGTGCCTTTGTAAGTATGAGATGCCCAGCTCACCACTTACAGTCCATCTAACAAGTGCTTTTTTAAAAAGCAAGTAACTGTGCAGCTGCCAAAGCAAAGATTTGAGAGTTGAACGCCCCAGCCAGGCCCTGTAAGGCAGAAGAGTAACTGAAAACTGTGAGAAGCTGGCACAGTTTTACCAAGTGGAATAACCGAGTGCCTGACCCCAGTGAGCAGCTTGTCCGAGAGGGAAGCCTTGGTCCGGAGGGGAACCCTTCAGGCTGCCCCAATGTTGTGCTGCTGCTGCTTGGTGACAGGGAACAGTTACTCCAGGGAGGGGGAGGTTTGTTAGCTTACAGCTGGATACACTTCAAAGGTGGGCTGTAACTGAAAAAAGATACAGGCTCAGCAGAAACAACATGTGTGGTTTGCAAAAGTTCTCCTTTACCTTAAAGAATCATTATTAATGTGGGGTAAAGATATAATAAGTTGAAATATAATTAATATAACAATTACACATCATCATGGCTAGGCTTCGTGAACGAAGATTTGGGAAGGGCTTTACCCACGTTTGTTACAAGCGCGCTGGTGGCTAAAAAGGCCAATATGAGACAGGCACGTCTGGTTGCAAAAGGCACAGCAGAAAGACTCCTTAGGAGGTATATTCTGCAAGGCACGATTATTTCTGTGTTGTTGTCTTTTCTCCTCAAGAGTGATCCTGTGTGCTTTCTCAAAAGAAGCAGCAGCGTTACAGATGGTGTGTCTCCAGACCTCCCGACTGGAGGCCAGAGTAGACCAGTTATGTTGATCAATATGGCCAAGGCTGAGATGTTGTTTCAGGGGATCCTTGTATCTTCTCTTCAGGCTCCTCTCTTGCGGCAGCCGGTGGCAAGTTCACCATAAAGCAACATCTTAGGGAGGCGGTGGTCCTTCATCCTTGAGATGTGCCCTGCCCAACGCAGCTGTGTTCTCAGTAGCATGGCCTCAATACTCGTAACTGCTGCCTGTTCTAGAACAGACGTATTAGTCACATAATCTGACCAGTGGATGTTCAGGATTGTACGGAGGCAGCATTGATGGAAGCGTTCTAGGAGTCGCAGGTGGAACAATTACACAATAATGAAATAAAACCATTGCATTCAAATACAGGTAATTAATCTGGAAATCCTGTTCCTTGGAAGAAGTAGACTGACACTGTTGCCACTAGAAATGTCCTTACTTCATAAACTAGCAGTACAGAATGTCAGTGACAACCAGTGACATCTGTCATGTCTCCTGAAGGAATTGTAAATATTAAGTAACTCTTTCACAACTACAGCACTGATAAATTTCTGTTTGCATCAGAAAGTGTTGAAACTTCAGATCTTGCAAGCAACAAATTGAAAACTGTAGTAGATCCCATGGCTGATATGAAGAGTTTGAAGGTACTTAACTGATTCCACACCCATCTCAGCATTCGCAAGCATTCTCTGCTACCTCCCACAGCTAGTAAAACTCAGCGTACATGAGACCTTGATTCAGGGTTTACCAAAGGAGATTACACACTTTAAGAAATTACAAGAGTGTTCAGTCAGTAACAATACTTTTATGTTTTTGTCTGTGCACCTTTTCCAGTTGACAAAACTAAAATTTAGGTTTCTGAACTTTGCAAAAAAATTATTTAAAAGCATTACAAGTAAACTTCGCAACTGTAGCCTGTTGAAATGTCTCGTACATTATAATGAACTCAGATTCCTGCCAATATTCCCAGATTTACAAATGTAAAGGAGTTTTATTTAAGTAGAAACTGACTGGACTCACTGGATGAACAAACTCTGCCTCTAAAAGATCTCTCTATAACAGATTTTTCTGGAAATGTATTAAGATACATTCCTGTTGAATGAAGAAAATTGTATACGGACAACCAGATCTGACCTCGGCAGCGATGAGCTCTCCGGGTTTCCAAATGCACTATGTGCACCATTTGATCTTAAACTCTTAGATCTTAGTGGCGACTCTTATTTCAGAAGCAGTACCCGGATTTTCTGACATTAAAGATTTGGGGCATCTACAATTAAACACAAACGAGCTGTCCTCCTCCTCCGCGTGCTGTGCTACCTTACGAACCAGCGCACTGGGCTGTCAGCGGGGACGCCGGCGGTGATGTTCGCCGGGAGCGCCGCACACCGCCGTAGGACCGTGCTCTCTGGGTGTCGGAGGTTACACATCCCCTCGGCACACACGCGTTGGCGCCGCTGGACGCGGGGGCCGCCCCTCATGCCCGAGGCCCGGCCCCGGCCCGGCCCCCGCTCGGCCCCCGCCCAATGGCGCCCGGCGCAGCCCGGGCGATGCCGTCACCCCGCGCGGCGCGGCCGCGGGTTGGCTCCGGCGCCGGGAATCGTCACATGGGCAGAGATCAGCCCAGCGCCGGGAATCGTCACCCGGGCTCGGATCAGCCCAGCGCCGGGGGCGGGGCCGCCCCGCTCCGCCCTGGTCTGCCCCGCGCCGCTGAGCCGAGCCGAGCCCCGGCGGATGGCACGGGTGGCCGAGGAGATGCTGAGCCTGATGGAGGTCGGCGGGTCCCTGCTGGAGCGGGTGGCCGTCGACAGTCCCCTTTCCCTGGTGCTGGCAGCCTCCGCCTTCGCGCTCAGCCTCGGGTACCTGTTCCAGCTGGGGTACCGCCGCCACCTCGGAGCCGACCAGAAGGTAAGGGCTGGGGGCGGTGGGGCCAGGGAGAGGCGATGGGCCGGGCAGCGGACCCGGCGGGCTCCGCCGCTCTCCCACGAAGGGTGGGCCCCGCAGGACAGCGCCGGGAGCGGGGCAGGGGAGCCGGGCGCTCTCCCTTTGGGGTGCGGGCGGGGGAGAAGAGATGCGCTCACCTTGGGACTGCCCTTTTTGGGAGCGCAGGGGAAGGGGTGGTGGAATCCAAGTGTGTGGGAACCGGCTGAGGAAGGCGAGGAGCGTTTCCAACAGCAGCCCCAGGGCGGTTTCTGGCGGGAGTGGCGGTGGCTTCACCCTCGGCCCCGCTGGTGGAGCGGAGGCGCTCAGACCTTGTAGGGGCAAAGGCCGTTCCCGATGCTGTTTTATCGATGGAGCTTAAAAGAAGGTCCCCATTTATCTGCGAAACCCATTCCTAACCTGAAGCTGGGTGCTTTTGGGACGCTGTTTAACCAATCATCAGCACTGTTTTGTGAGTGCCTTCTTTTCAATTGCAGTATCTTTCAGAGGCAGCATACAAGAATCTTAATCGTATTCACTTTATTTTAATCCTTGCTGCTTTCAAATGTGACTCAATATGAAGAAATAATCAGTTGTCCAATGTTGGCCTTTTCACAAAAGAGTTTAAATAAACATGTATAAAATGTCTTCTGCAGTTAGTTTTTATATAAATAGACATTATTTTATTACTTCTGGGCAGTGGGACATGCCAGGGAAGTGGTCACAGCACCAAGCCTACCAGAGTTCCAGAAGCGTTTGGACAATGCTCTCAGGCACATGGTGTGACTCTTGGGGCTGTTCTGTGTAGGGCCAGGAGTTGGACTTCGATCCTTGTAGGTCCCTTCCAACTCAGAATATTCTATTATTCCATGATTCTGCAATACTCTCTGAAGAAAATTTAATAATTATTTTTCTCATTCTTCCTCAGAAATACCCACCTTTTATTTCATCAGGCATCCCTTTCCTTGGACATGCAATCGCATTTGGAAGAAGTCCCATTGAATTTCTGGAAAATGCTTATGACAAAGTATGTTTTCCCCCATGACTGGCTGAGCATATGCTAAAATATTTTTGTGTATCTATCAAATTCTCTCTCTGGAGCCTGTTTAAAATCAGTTCATTCTCACTTATCACCTTGAACGTAGAACAGAGTGTGCACAGTAGGCTCTGGTATCTTCAGATCTCTTTATGTACATTGTTGTTAGAGAAGTAGTGTTTTCTGTGCTCTCTCTTGTGATTCACATGTAAAAAATATGTTTGTATATTTGGGTAATACTCATAGCTGGATCACAAGTTAATTAAAAAGCCATTTTAATGACATTATTTTCTGCCTTAATTGATATCTTTTAATCACATTCTTTACTAATCTGTGACCGGACTGGAATGTAGCTGATCACCTCTGAGGCAACTTGATGAATTTTAAGGCCTTGCCAATGTTAAAATGGGTGGTAAACCTCAGTAGTTTTTATACTATAACAGCCCAAAAGAAATTAACTAAGTGAGTAGAGCCTTAATTCCAATGAAATTAGATTCTGCAGGAAGGTTTGCTGGAGATGACTTTTAAATTTTAAAACCTTATTTGCTCTTAATTACCTATGCATAACTCCAAATCCAGATTTTTTTGAGACAGTGTTTGTAGATTACTGGAGGCATTATATGCTGTCATCTCCCTGCTAGTTTTTGTAGTGTCGCTGATCTTTTATTTGTGTTTTTTAAATGGTTTCAAAATGTGCAAGATCACATATGTTCATTATAACATTGGATATCACTAGTAAGTATATTGAGTACAGAATTTAAATGTGGTTTAAAATATTTATGTCTTTATTAAATCTGTGGATACTT